GTGGGGCCACGTTCTCACAACAAACCCACTCTCTCTCCAATCTCTCAACTTGAATCCTCAAAAGAAACTTATAAAACACTTCTCAGAGACAAGCCTGTGAACTTCACTTCATCAACCCCCTAGATACTAAAAATTATGGATTAAATATAGACATTGAATTTATGATACATTATAACCTGCCTGACATCTGACTCCACAGGTACCTCTCCACTGTTCATTCCCCTTCTCTGCCCCAACCCAGCCTGTCTCTCACCCATTAACTCCTGAATCTACATTTTCACTGACTACCTGTCTCATATGCATACTAGACCAGCCTCTGGCTTCTTTACTTTTCATTCCATCCAGGAAGAGCACACACCAACTGCAGAAAGTTGCTTAGCCTGACGAAGGGTTTTTGAATCTGAAAGCTTGCTTAATAATTGTTTTCCAACTATTTAAGTTGGTCTAATAAAAGATATCAGATTCACCCAAAGAATGTTGTCTGAACTAAGGAGAGAGGCTGTTGTTCTGCTGATGGACTGATAAATGCTATCAACTCCCTGTGTAGCTCCCTGCTGTGTAACTCCCTTCTGTCTTCCTCGCTGGTCAGGAGCAAGGCAGTGAGGGGGGAACCTCTCCCTAATCAGAGCATCCTGCCAGGGCCTGGCCATGCTCAGTACTATGGAAGGGAAGGGAGGGATGCTTTGGTGTCCCCTGGCTTCTAGCCTGAGCCACTGCAAGCATGTGCCTGAATTCCTTCAGTCCAGAGCGGATGTCTGTATGGTTACAAACCAGTTCTGCCTAGCCAGGTTAGACTAACCTGCAAAGATTGAATCAATTCAGGCTCAGGCTTTTGCAATGTCTATCCCTAGCCATAAGGTCCTAAACAGTCTGGGCCCTATGTACCTAAGGAATCTCCTTTTCCCTCATGCCCCATCACAATCCCTATGTTCAGCTGAGAGCAACCTCCTACAAAAACAATCAATACACCAAATCCTCATGGCAAAAACACATGGGAGGTTGCTCACTCTTACTCCTCAGCTCTGGACTTCCTTCCCTATTGAGGCTGGTCAAAGCCTGAGCCTGGACATCTTTTAGTAACTGCACTGCAAGTTTCCTATTTTGCAGGCATGTACCCAACAAAACTAGGATAAGGTGTCTTTTTTTGTGGGTGGGGGGAGAGGGTCTCTGCTGTATCTTCATGTTCTAGTTCCCTTTTAAGTTGTGCTAGTCCACTTGTCACTCCTGTTTTTAAGTTATTCTGTTGTTTTTATTCTAAGACTAACTTATACTATGTCCTGAGACTTTGTTGGGAAGGGTGGCATATAAATTAAATAAATTCTTCTTATTATTATGTATGAAAAAGAACAATTTTATCAAGTTTGTTTCCATGTTGAAGAGGCTAACAGTACTTTGATGTTTAATTGTATTATTGTTTCTTAATATTCTTTGTGGCCATTAGTTACTCAAATTACAGCTATTTTATAAAAAATTAATATCATAAAATTGCATTTGTTGATATTTTTATAGTTTTGGTTTTCTATGAATGGAGAGAGCTAAATTACAGCAATGAGTCTAACTGGCTAAGGAAATAATGAGTAAGCTGGTTAAAATGTCAAAGTTGTACTTAGCAGCAATTATGAATTAATGCCTGAAATATTTTGTTGTTTTCGTTTTTAGTTTGTTTTTATTTTAATGTATTAATTAAACTAACTTGGGAATATCAGATCATTTTCTAATAGCAAATAAACTAGCTGGCATATTTGCCCTGATGCTCTGATACAGGCTATTTTAAGGGGATTCAGTGAGAGCATACTGTCCTTATTACTAAGGAATCAAAAAAATAGAGACAGTGATGTATCAAGCTTATCATTTATCATTGGTTTCATTCCTAAAACAATGTTTGATATCTTATAACATATGAAA